AGGAGGCCAGCGGGCAGACGGGGGGGCGGAGGAGGGCACAGGAGGCCGGGCTGCAGATGGAGGGGGGCACAGGAGGCCGGGCTGCAGACGGCACAGGAGGCCAGTGTGCGGATGGAGGGGCCAGGAGGACAGGCCGGGCGGTCAGCACTCAGGTTCCAGAGCAGAGAAGGCTCTGCAGGTCTCGGGGCTGAGGCCCCTGCTTCCCGAGGCTGGCCTTGATCTCTGAGTATCCCTGTCCCCCACCTGCTGCAGACCCTTGGGACCATGTCCCCCTCAGGGCAGGGCCTGGTTGACCAGTCAGCTCCGCTCCTGGGCTTTGGGCTCAGGGCTGTGACTCAGGTCAGCTGACAGCCCGGAGGGCAGAGCCACCCTCTGCTGGGTCTGCTGACGGTGAGTGGGGGAGCATGGGGGCTGCCCGGGGCTGAGAGGACACCAGCTTAGAGCCAGCAGTGCCCAGAGGGAGACGCTGGATCCACTGGCCACTGCCTGGAGCCCTGGTCTGTCCGGTCAGGAGAGCCAAGAAATTCCACTGTCAGTTTTCTGTCGATGCCATTGGAGTCCCAACCAACGCACAGTTCCCTGGGCCTCAGGCAGCAGGACTGCCCGCGTGGGCCCCTTCCCGGCGTCTCTGCCAGCCCTCTTCATGCAAAGCTGCTCGGTCCAGGCAGTACTGACCAGCAGAAGCACCCGGGTGCCACGTGTGACCCAGATGTCCTAGCAGCCACGACAGTGGTGAAGGGTGACGGTGAAATGACCCAGAGTCACACCATTTAATGCCAAGTGAGCCTGCACCACCACAGGGGACAGAGGCCTGCCAGGGAGGGCTGCCATTGCTTTGCACAGCATGTCGGTGAAAGGGGGCAGGCAGTACTGACCAGCAGAAGCACCCGGGTGCCACGTGTGACCCAGATGTCCTAGCAGCCACGACAGTGGTGAAGGGTGACGGTGAAATGACCCAGAGTCACACCATTTAATGCCAAGTGAGCCTGCACCACCACAGGGGACAGAGGCCTGCCAGGGAGGGCTGCCATTGCTTTGCACAGCATGTCGGTGAAAGGGGGAGGGGAGAAGGGGG